GTAGAATGTGCCATTCTCCCCAGGAAAGCTGTCACACAAATCCTTAGGTAGAACGGGCAGATCTTCACCCATACGCAGGGCAGCGTCACATCATTTATACAGACGCTCACTGGCTGATATTCTGTTTTCCTCAGCCAGGTTATTGTTGCCCCCACTCGCCAGTAGACCCACATATCTGTGAGAAGCTTTTTTTTTCTCCACCGCGTTTCATCTTCAGTTGCCTTTGAGCAGAAACAACTCTCCATTTGAGCTGGAACACACAGCCTCTGGTCTCCTAGGAAACAGGCCAGGTTTCCCGCGGTAACAAATCACTGAAGCCCATTGGTGGGAGAATGAGGAGCTCCCTGCACCATTCCCATGGCAACCAGCTCTGTGGCTTCTGAGAAATGATGGCATACATGCACTTTAAACACACACACACACTAACGCACACACATGATCTGTTCAAAAACGGCTCTGTTCTCGCAGTTGACAAAAGCATCTAACCTCGATGTCCTCACCACACACTGTGTCCTCACTTGTTCAAATGGTGGAAATGAATTCCAAATGTACTGGCTTTGTGTTTCACTGAAGAAAAAAACAACTCTTCTTCTATAACCTTCTAATCAACACTTGGCTTGTAGGATTTCTCCCGTGTGATGTCATAAACTGTCTGCACAGAGAATGGGACAAGCTGCCTGAATACTAACTACTGGAATGTTGTCTATTGTAAACAGTCATTTTAAGGACAAAAGTGTCCCTGAGCCTGCAAAATGCAATAGAAAGGTAGATTTGCTGTACCATGTATATTGTCCTGTGATCCGTCATTGTGTTTTTGTCATGATAACACACAAATGTAAAGTAATAGACTAATAGCAATGCACTCTGAACCAGCCCACACTTCTAACCCATGCACACGTTGCAGCAGAGCAGGTGAGAGTGCAGCATCTTAATCTTCTGTTAGACAGTCGGGATCTTGGTGCAGATTGTCTATAGATAGCTATGCACACACACATTATTTTTTCAGATGCAGAGCTGTGTGCTAAAGTTATTTTAAGCCTGGAACAAGTCCACGGGCGAAGCGTGCAGATGCTCTAAAAACGGGCTGGCCAACATGTACACATGCAACTTTTCCTAAGAGGCTTAATAACGGCATTCTCTACCCGACCACAGGACAGCATGTGAACATCATGTGCAGCCTGAAACATCACTTTAGTGCGAGATGTTGTTAATACTGCCGCAGTGAGTCTAATAGAGGAGGCAAATATATGACTGGAGACCACAGATTGGTTTCTACCTATGGCTTATTTTAACAATGGATGTGACTTGTCAAAAACCTAAAACTTGTAGTTTTAGTCTCTTTAGACTTCAGAACCATCATATGGTCCCTCGCTCTGGAGTTTACGCATTTAAATATTTACCATGGCAGAAAGCAGCATTGCTTGCTTTAAAGGCAATGGCAAACTAATTATTCTGTCGTTGCACAATTCTCATAATTTTGACTTTATATCTCATCATTTCAACTTTCTAACTCTTCTTTTTTTTGTGGCGGAAATGGGCTTCCATAAGGACTTGTATTCTTTTGACTGATGCTTTCTTTGTTCAGTTACAGCACAAGGCAGCTAACAGGTGCTAGTTAGCAATAGTGTTTTCTTTTTAGCTTCGGCCCTCTCGGTTCATCCTGTAACTGATAACTGGTGTACCAGTAGAGCGTTTCTGTCTCTTCCTCTGTGCCCGTTTCCATTATCTCTTATTCTGTATCCAGTCCAGTCCTCTTTGATCCTGGTTTCACTCAGTGGTTGCCATGCCAACAAGCGAGAATAAAGCTCGGAGCTGCAGTATTGTGGCTCTCGTGACTGATGCAACGTTTACCATTAACCCTCCCCCACCCCCCTCCCCCCCCCACACACACTCTCTCACACTCTCAGAGCATTTTCTTTAGTTTTTCTCCAACAGTTTGGCGGCTTTAGTATTTAGGTCACCTCTTTGTGTGAGGAGAGAAGGAGGAGGGAAGGAGCATCCCAATGTAATGGTTGTCGATTGGTCAGAACACACACTTCAAAACACACACACGCACACACACACACGCACAGGCAAACGCACTAAATACAGATGAAGGACCAGTGCTGCTCGCCATCCCTCTGTCATTTTGTTTTTATCTCTGCAGAAGGAAACTCGAGGGCTACTGGGAGGCCGAGTGTCTTGTCCCCGTCTTTCGTCCTCCCTCTTGTTTGTCTCTATCTACATTCCCTTCACTCCTTCCTCCCTCCTATCCCACATGACCTACATTTCTTCTCCATGCCTTGCTCCTTTGATTTCCCCTTTGCCACCTCTGCACACATTAAAAGCCCCACACACACACACACGCAGACCTAGACACACACACACCCCGACACACGCACAGTGCTGTGGCAGGATGGGGCAGGGGTGGAGCCGCTAAGTCCATTTGGAGCGGTCAGGGGTGGAGTGCTGAAATAGAAAGCCGAGCTAAGCCCTGAGTGAACCCGGTGTCAAAACACTGCGTGTTGTGCGCGTGCGTGTGCGCGTGTGGGTGAAGGAGACTCTGGAAGGTAGGGGACACGGTGCCTCCTGTGGACCAATAGCACAGCCTCTGTGTGGACATGGATGAGTCCACACTGCCAGCTGCTGAGCCTCCACCGGCACAACTCCAACAAAGCATTTTCACATCCCAGTCACGACACGTCTCTACTGCCACCTGGTGGGGACAGCTCAGTGTCTGATGATGCCACACGTTGCGCGTTTGGACAGCTTTTTCTGATTAAACCTCTGCGTGCAAATAATTGATGACTTTTTTTGCAGCAAAATCATTCCCGTAAATAACTAATTATGCTGAAATTGTACATTTGGCTCCTCATATCTAGACTAGAGAGGTTGAAACTGCTGGATGATTAATTCCTTAACCCTGATTACAACCGCATCTCTTTTTATCGAAGCATAACAGTGTATTTGCATCCTCATTAGGTGAGATGTTTATGCTCTTTTTAGGAAAATATTCCAAATGCGATGGATGGTGGAAACGCAGCATTAGTCTTGTTTCAGCAGCTCTCCCCGTCAGGTTGGGTACAGCTTTTCCCCAGTAGAAACTTTACCGTGACCCTAAACTGTCTAACACACGTTAACTAATTCATCAGTAACAATAGCTGACAATCTCTATTACATACTTAAAAAATATGGGACATTTCACAGGAATTAGAGCTTACAATAAAATAGTCATTTCTGTTATAAAAATGAATTTATCAATAACCTCAATGAACATTTCCAACAACCGCCTTCACCAGGTCAAAGTTCAAACTTCTGGAAACTGCCATCAGGAAAAGCAGTGAAGCCTCCCTTCCTTCCATTCTCTCTCCGTTTGCTTTTTGGATTCCACATCCTGTGCTCCTAATGTGTGTGTGTGTGTGTGTGTGTGTGTGTGTGTCACTCTCTCAGTCACAGACAGACACACACACAGCAGAGCATGCTGAACCAGAGGAGCTTCAGAAGTCCCCATTGCGCCACAGGGTGAGCCCTTTGAGAATTGTAACATTCTTTATTGGCCTTTTTGTATTCAGCGTGTATTGAAAAGGGACTGAAAAGAAGATAATTAAAGAGCTTTAGAGGACGGAGCAGGAGGCGTTTTCACCCTTCTTCCATTTTTTGTGCTAAGCCAACAGTCTCCTGGCTCCTGCCACATTTTCAACAGGAAGAGATCAGAGTGGTGTCGGTCATCTTATTGAACTCTCAAAATGAAGGTGGATCAGCAAATTTCCCATTTCCCATTTGACAGCCCCGTGTCCTCAGGCGTTGTAATTCAATGCTCAGCGGTGTTTTGGTGGGATCGTGACAGCTGTGTCCCTGAGAAGCCACTGGAGGAAGACGCTATGGCCTAACCAGGGCTTAAGGACAACAAGTGTAGAACTCTGAGATTAGGAGATAAATTGTCAGCTCTCCCTGAACTGAGTGGAAAGCTGAGCGATGAGGTTGGAAGGTGCAGCAGAGACAGCTGAGGAGAGATCTCATCGGCACCACTGAAACCACCTGTGTGGGTCGACGCGGCGGATATGAGGAGCGCACTGATTACCTGCAGAGCGTTCATTTACTCACCTGAAGCCAAGAGCAACCGTGGCATCATATAGCACACTTGTGTTTAGCTGAATTTTGCATTCAGGGTCGTTGCAGGTTCCACGTCACTGAATCTTGGTTTACTGGGAAGCCGTAGTGAAGGGAATAAGATTCTGTAGCAGTGTCTTTTCTTAATATCGTTCTTCGGTGATGGTCACAGTTTGGTTTCCTCAAAGGTGATTGGGATCTTTTCCTTAAAAACTACAGGAAAATAAAAGAAAACACTATATTGTTGATAAAAGCTGCACTGATTCTTATTTCCATGGTACCACTTCATAAAACCCTGCACGTTGCTTCGGCTCTTTTGAAGCTTTGTAGCGGAACTACATGTGCCCTTGCATTGCTTTCCTCTGTTTCCAGAAGCTGTTCGCAGTATAAATGCTCACTATAAACTACTTTCCAAACAGTAGACAAATATAACGCTAACAATAATTTGTGCATTTAGCAGCTAAAGACGGAGGAGACCAAAAATAGAGCTAAAAGGACATTCAATATTGCCAAATAAATCTCATCTAGCGAGGCTTAATTATTGGTTATTCCAGGGGAAACACTTTTATTTTGGAGCTTTAAAGCAATCTATCATGTGTTTTCTTGGGTATCTTCCATCCATTTCTTCCCTTTCACTCTCCGGTTTCCCTCCCACACCAAACCCTTCATCCCTGATCGTTGGAGTGAGCCGAGAGGGGCAGTGTCGTTCCTTATTGTCCCTCACTGTGCAGTGTGGGGGGCATGCCGAGGGCTGCTGTCCCTGCTACACACAATATCGCGTGTTAGCTCAGTTTAGAGGACTGGTGGATTACGTTAGAAAACGAACACCCGCAGCCAGCAAACCTTTCTGGCTTCAGCAGCGTTTGAAAGGTAAGCTTAGAAAGTTTCGACAGAGTAAAACCTTTCTAGGAGCAAAGTCTTTGATGTTCAAGAAGTTGATTACACTTCCCCAAAAAATTGGGGGGGTGGTATGTATACTTTATACTTTTTACTTTATATACTTTAGATAGGACAAGTTCTGTGAGTTCTGTTTGCAGAACTTGCAGATTTTCTAAATCACTGAGATGAAAAAAAAATCAATGCCATGTCTTATTTGATTGTATTCTCTGACATCTTACCTCCATGATGGTGGACCTGCTTAGTAAAGAGACAGTAGGGTAACCTCTACCTGAGCAGAGAATGAACTCACTCCGCGCGTGTGTGTGTGTGTGTGTTGTAATCCGAGCTTCTCTGCGTTTCGGCAGCCAGGTGCCCGTGCACGTGAGTGCACGTGAGTCCCTCCCTTTGACTCAGAAAGTGAGCGATGGCAGAAAGCAGTTGAAAGCATTGAGCCGAGGGCAACCTTCCACACTCTCCACCACGCTCATCTCAGAGGGCCACAAGCACCTTTAGATTATCTTTTTCTTTTGTTTGTGTAAAAAGGTCATTTAGAAAGTCGACAACATCACAATATGTCGTGTGTAGTTTAGTTTAGTGTGAAACCGCTCAGTGAACTACGTCCCGTCTCTCACCTTCGCTTGTCCAGGCACAGACGTAACATTTTCCGTTGCTTTATGGCCATTAACTGTATTCGTTCACCCTCATAATTCTCATAGGCATTGTTTTGGGTTTCAAAACCTCTAAAAAATGCCGTCTGTCTTTCAATTGACTCAAGAAAAGCCAAACATGTCTCAAATACTTTTTCCAAATTTCAATTCAGTTAGTGACAAAGCTTCCGTAAACTGTAGCTGTTCATTTAATTACATGTACTACAAGGACTTCCCAGCAGTGTGGATGATTCCATTAACAGTTCCTCACTATGGGGAGCCACCAAGTCTGGTCCCAACCATTAACAGCAGCTGTCTCCAGCTCTCTGCCATCAACACTCATTGTGTATCAAACATGCCAACTCTAATCCCATCTACAGTATATCACGTGTATCAAAAAGATTCCTAGGCCAATGGGCCAGTTGTATGTGTCATTAATGCATAAAAAAATACTAAAAGACTTGTAGTACACCACGCCAGATGGACAGAAGCTATCTTTTCATTTCTCTGTTTTTCAAGTATTTACAATAATTTATGTTCATGTCTGGATCAAACCAGCCATGTTGAGGGCCGATGTCTCTTTGTGCTGCAATATGAACTACTGAGGTGCCCTTACATGTCAGTTTTATTAAACAGCATTCTGCTTGGACCTTCTGATACCAGCCAGCCTTTCTGTACCACCAATGAGTTTGTACTAACAGACAAAAACAATTTTGTTCAAGTTTACAAATTCTTGCAAAAGCATAAAAGAGAGTTCAGAATCCATCAACTGCCTTGTTGTGAAAAATGTAGTTTTTTTGACTTAAAGGACAGGTTCCCAATTTTTCAGGGAATTACAGGATCGCATAACAGACAAAAATGATGCTTTGAGTAATGTGTTTGCTGCGATCGTCGTCTTGTTAGGAGCTACCGGAGCCTTTGGCGTGCTTCAGGTGTGTGAGGGACAACGTGGCGACTCCCAAAGAGGTTAGAAACAGATGCTGAAAAGCGTCAGTTCGATCACAACTGGAGAGCATTTCTTTATTGAAGCGATTGACTCATTGGTTCGTTCAATTATCACTTACCGGTATGTATTTTTGAAAGCGCTGAACGGTTCAAAAGAGTTTCCAATGACGGCGTCTCAGGTGGTTTTGAGGAACAAAGCATCTGCAGGTCAGTTTGTTCCCTTTTATCGCCTCTTTACAGGGTTTTGCTTTGGGATTTTTCATACGTTCTGTATTTGCAGCGTGTTTCCATATATTTTGGATCGTGGTACGTGATTTTGACTTATAGTTACATAAAGCGGCGACACATTTCTCCGAATGGAAAGGTTGTGTGTGTTTGAACCTGCTGTAACAGCAGTGGACGGCAAATGCAGAAACGCTTGAGAGGGACGATGACCGCGGCAACGTCATGTCTGTTTTATCCCACACGCGTGTGGCTGTAGTTCATTTGACTCCAGCTACATGTTGTCGCAGTTCATTCATTCCAAACAACAGCCGTGTCAGACTCTCCCGTCGGTTCAGGCAGGTGGCAAAAGACAACTGCAGGCTGCGCGCAGTGAAACGCATGCCATCGGGGTAACCTTCCAGGAGCAGCACCATGTCATCACAGCTGCGTATTTGTGTGTGTGTGTTTGTGTGACACCGGGGCTCAAGGCCCCCTCCAGCGCCTCTATGAGACGTGACGGGCCGCCAGCCATCTGCAGCAGCATCATTATTAGACCCTCAGAGCGGAGAAGTATCATCAAGAGCGAGAAAGCCTGCTAAGAGTGGTAGACTGAGGGAAGAGAGACACGCGTTTCGTGGAATGGTCCAACAAAGGACTTTCACTCGCCGTTACCTACCCAAGTGGTTCTGAACCGGGTCACGTCCGTTTGACACAGCGTCAAAGACTCGCTAACCTCCCAAGTCAAAACCCAGATGACCCCATGCGGCCTGTGGCAAAGTGTGAATGGAAGGGACGATGTTATGTTGAGGTCTGTGTGTGTCTGTGCGTGTGCGTCACGGTGCCACCTGACGATCTCGCCTGCCAGAAAAGCCGCGGGGGTTCATGTGTCAAAAGACTGTGCCACAAGATGCACGACCACATCAGAGAACATTCCCCTCGTGGTGTCAACAGCTCATGACATAATGCCCGTGACCTTTTTGTGAAGTGAATAAATAACTATTTGCATGTGTCACCATGACAGCACTTGTGTCAAAGTGAAATGATCTCCTTTCTTCCTCCTCCTTTTAATATGCTTGGACAACTTACCTGAGCTGTTCATGCCTCCACCACCAGACATCAACCCCCCCCTCAAATACAAACATATAGACAGAGCCATTGTTTGACATATCTAACATCCACCGAGAGGTCAAAGGCAGTGTGTCTCTGCAGCGAGCGCCCAAGCAAAGTGCCAGTGATTTGAATACGGAAACCACTACGGTCCAATCACAACGTCCCCCCAAGCCCCCGAGGCCCGACCCCTCAGGGACTTCGCTGACGTCTCCGGGTTCAGTGGGAGAGTCGGCGAGGGCTTTAGATGCTGTAAACATGAACAGGTCAGCACTTTGCTGCCACACGGCACGTCACCACGACAACGGCAAAAAATATCAGTTACAATGGGGGTATTTATTTTACACTTTTTACTCTCTGATTTGAACGTTGCTTCAATGACATCATCATGATGTCAATGATGTCAAAATTGAACGCATCATGTGTTTTTTTCCATCTTTAATCTAAACCAGCCTGTCTCTATCCCAAGGACACAAAACGCCGTCCAGCTACGTCCCACCTCCCCGCTGAGACCACACTGGCCTAAACTCAGTGACGTCGCTGTGAGACGGAGCTGGTCCCTCAGACAGACGTCTCACACAAAAGCACCAGGCTTTTGTCTCCTCAGCCACAAACACGAGGGGGTTGTTATTTGCAGCAGAGGCTCCAGAGGATCGATCATGATGGACCACTTGTGGACCACCTGTTTTCCTCTCAGCTTTCATCCGCATGCTTTCTTGTGGAACTGTGGAACTATTGCCATGTTTGTTTAGGAGCTACTTGTTTTTGTTTTTATTGTCTTATTTCTTGTCCTCTGAAGTAATGTAAAACTTTTGTTTGGGACATTTAGAGTAAAAAAGACTCCCAGGTCAGCTGTCGGGCAGAAGCGCGTGCGTTGAATGGAAGCTACATAGAGGAGTTGGGAGGAGGGAGCTGCCACGTTAGGGGACAACGCTAGTGATCATTGACTTTTGTCCCAACAGCACCATCAGAAATCAGGTGAGCTCAAATTCAACATCTTCACCCGATCATTTTACATCTACACAAATAAATAAGCTTTAATTTGATCTAAGCTAAAGAAAAGGGATGTTGGTAGTGGGACACCATTTAAATACCCTTGTGTTGTATATATAAATATATTATTATATGTACTGTAAATGTTTGTTAGTTTAAGGTTCAATAAAATCTAATAGTGCTGTTACTCATTATTTTATAATACAAACTAAATAAACCAACCCAAAGGCTGGTCTAGCAGAGAGTTTGTATTTCCATCTTTAGCTTTTCATTCTTCACTGGCCGTCTTATCGCGCGTGGAGTAGAATGAACTGTCGCTAAGCCGCCGCTAAGCGCTCCGTCTGAAACCGTGTTCACAGCAACCAAGCAGGCAGCGTCCACGTACGGGAAGAGCAAATATTGACTCAGGCACGCGTCAGGTGATCCGTTCATGGCCCTATTACTTTTATAGACCTAGCGTCCGTGTGTGTGTGTGTGTGTGTGTGTGTGTGTGTGTGTGTGGTGCATGCTTCAGTCAATATTTTGTCCTGTCGTGTTGACTGCTCCAGGTACAGAGAGCTTCCTGTTTTGGCCTCCGGTCGGTTCCACTTCCTGCTGAGCTTTTCCCCCTGAGGGGTTTGCAGACTGTCGGTCCTTTTGTGTGAATACGGTTTTAGCCGCTCAGCGAGCTGCTAATTTATTGAAGTGCTGTTTGTCAGAAGAGGATCAACATGTTCTGCAGCAGAGGCTTTATGAAATGTGTCCCATTGTTTGGACACTAACAGCTTTCCCACAACACGGATTGTGAATATATAACATCTAATATTGATCTGGAGGTCCTTCTGACCCTATTGGATTAATAACTAAAAAACAAGATTTTGGCTTGTATGTAACTGTTAGATAATGGCAAAAATAATAATGGGATAGGATTATGATATAACCTTGTACTGCTGCTTTTATGATTAACCTTTTTATTTACTTAAACCAAAACAGTTTTTAAGTTTAAGTTTTTAATACAATGCAATGTAAAATATTCAACCAGTGCTTACAAACATTTGAGCTTCACATTTCAAATGTCAATGAGATGTTAGCCGTTCCACCAACACAACATTTAGTTTGTAAAAGCCAAGGTTCAAATATGTGTTCTACTCATCCTCTCACAACCCCTTAATTCATCTTAAAGGCCCTTTGAAAGGGAGCTCCAACTTCACAGTAATACATGTAACTCCACCCTTACTTGAGGTGAAGTTAGCTACTTAATTTATCTATTTAGTACTTCTGTAGCTTTCCTTTTGTTAAATGCAGGGCATTTATTCTTAATGGACTGCTTATTTGTCCAGCCCTTTAAACAAACTACTTTTCATTTATATTTATCTTAGTGTTGTTGTAAAAAAAAATGCAAGAGGGAGATCAAATGCACATTTGTTCATCTTAATATCCCCATCATGCACTGAATGAGAACGAGGACAACGCTGGTATGTGTGTGGCCACCTTACGTGACATTTACTGTGTGTATCATTTGAGTGACTGAACGATCAACAGCACCACCAGTTGGGTGATTTCGGCACGTCATGCAGAGGACGTCCCGGGCCGCTGGGGAGCGTCTTAAAGCGTAGAGGTGGTGATGACCACGCGTGTGTGTGTTTCCACTGCTTTACAAAGATAACTCCCGCTTTATTATGACACGCCTGTGGACCTGTGCAGGTATGCCGGCAGTCAACACACGCAGCAAACATAACTCAAACCGACTAACGGTCTGAGGGAAAACACGTGCAGACACACAACGTCAGCACAACAGTTGTTTCAGGTGACGTGTGTTTCCACGCTGGCTGAGGAGATGCAGGCAGATTGATGGTCTGTCTCAAAATATGTTATAGAGGCTGCTCGCAATCATATGACAACAAATACATACATGAAACAGCCTTTTCAGGTTGTTTCATGTATGTACTGTTAGAGTTATCTAGGATTAATACTATTGACTAGCCTCTGTATTGATGTTTATTAAATAGGAGAAGTGAAAGGTGCACCTAAATATTACGAACAAGCCCACACTAGATCCTCATCAAATGTAGTTGGTGTATTTCATAGCATTATTGAGATATACATATAAGAAAATAACTAACTATAAGGAGGCAGAACTATAATCACACGCACACACGACTTGTTAATCCTCGGCTGTAAATAATGGCGAGGCATGCCGGCCCAGCTCAGTGATGACATTGTTTTTACAACCAGAAGGGGTAGTTTGTTCCTCTTTGTTGTTGAAGAAAGAAATGCACTTAAAATAGGAACGGCCTTTGATATTCTGACCCAAACGTTCTTTAACATTTGTCAAGATTGTTGTGGAGTGGTCCCATAAAAGTGGCTGTAACCCATATAGAACATTATACCACATAGAGAGACATGTCAGGAATTATTTCTAGTTAATATGTAACATTTCAAATAATAATTAATAATAAATAATCTTATTCCACTACTTTTAGTTGATAGATTAAGTCACCGGTAAATTCTCCCTGAGCATGGTCTATTTCTGGCCTACTTCTCCTGACCCGTTGACAACAGAAGTCGGACCAGTTCTGGAGACTTTTTGAATCACTGTCTTGGAAATTTTCAGGCGGGTCAGCTCCTCCGGCAGCAACAGTCGACCACAGTTGCCACATTCCTCAGAGAGCATGTTTCTGTGGGCAGGAAGGAAAGCAACCGATGGAAGAAGTGAGCACAGGTATGTAATACTTAAAAAAAAATAAAAAATGAGTGCTGAAAATAATGGATTGCAATGTTTGAAAAGCAGTTGCAATAATATTAGTAGGAAATAACTGAAGTTCGATGTATTTAGGGGATGATAGTAATTGAAGAGGAGATGAAGCAGTTTGTCTATAGATGATGAAACAAATAACAATATCTGCTCAAGTTGAAGTCGGCATGTAAGTGTGGCACTCCGTGCCAGTTGGTGTTCAAGCAGTGCCGACAGTTGAAGGGTAACCGATGGACACTTAAATAATCCGTTTGTGTTGTGACGAAGCGTCAGAGATTTTAAGTGTGTGCACTGAAAACCGTGAAAGTGACACTAAGGTCATGAGCTGAGGCAGGACGGTGGGTAGTTCCACACTTTAAGAAACAAAACAAAATAGAAAATAAAATGATTAAACCAGTCTTTTTGCTAGAAAAACGGATGTTTCTTATGTGATCACATGGTAGATATTCCAGGACGTAGGAGCACAATGACAGGATGGTCTCCAGGATCATATTCAGAACATCTAGCACAATTATATACCTTCGGAGAGGATCTTACATAGCACAGAAGCTCATGAGGAAAAGAAAAGGTATGTAAAGTATGCATTTATGTCCCAGGTTTACCAGTGTAGGAATCAGGTTCAGCAGTTGGAGGACCGAACAACAAGAGTTGTCTGCGGGGAAAAAAAACACACAAAAAAACAAAAAAAAACAACTTTAAACTGTCAAGGTGCATTTCTAATGTTGAGCAGTGAGTCTACGTGATACGCAGGTATACGCCGTATACCAACCAACTAAAGCGCGATGATACGTAACGCCACCGTTGTGACAGAACGTTCAGTGGATCGCGTGTCATCGATAACAGGGGACAGGCGAGTATGACGCTGGGAGGGGAAAATCCCAGTATACTCACTACAAAAATATAAAATACACCACTGATGTTGACCTCTTTTCAGATCCATCTACCAGAACATTCGTGAATATGACGTCCTGGACAGGAAGAAGACGGAGACCGCTCTGAGGGCGGGGGAGGACCGAGCCATACTGTTGGGCCTCAGCATGGTCGTCTTGTCGGTCATGATGTACTTTGTCCTGGGAATCACCATACTGCGCGCTTACTCAGACCGGTAATGTCACAAGCTCGCTTCTGTATTTTCCCACCTTGTGACGAACCACCAAACCAGTTGAAAGCTCACGTTGGAAACATTCGCTCTGTCTCTACAGCGTGTGGACGGACGAAACTAGCTGCACCGTTGTGAATTCCACCATCGTGTGCGATGTAAGCTGTTCGTACAGCTGTGGAGCAGAGTGCCGGAGGAGTTCCCGTTACCCCTGTCTGCAGGTCTTCGTGAGCCTCAACTCCTCAGGAAAGGTGATGCGATTGTTGCACGACGAGGAGACGCAGGACGGCGATCCAGAGGTGTGGACCACGACACAACCTCACAATGAACGATCCCCATACAAGTCTTAATAACTCTTTTTTTAATGCTTCCTTTCAGTGCTTTTACATCCCAAAGTGCCATAAGGACTATGCAGCCACGCACGCTGTCGTTCAGAACATTTCTGAGCGTCTCAGGTCTCAGCGCACAGTTACGTGTTTTGTGGACCCCACGGACAGGACGGACAGCGCCATCCTGACGCAGATCTACGGCCGGGTTGCGGTCTTCCACTCCCTGTTCTGGCCAACCTGCACCTTGATTGGAGGAACCATCATCATTGCCATGGTGAAGCTGACCCAGTACCTGTCAATCATGTGCGAGCGAGTAAGCCGCGCTAAGAGGTGACGTGTAGGACGGCAGTGAGTTCAAAAGGGAGCTCCTGACATGTGGACATGGGGACAACTGAAGCAGCTTCAGGGGAACAAGACTGAAGGACACAGAGGGGAAGTCCTGGGGAGAGAAGTGGTCACTCTGACAGCTGGAGTGTGGGATTCAAACATATTTATCAGTGACAATCGAAAAGCTGATAGAAAGTAAATACATTTTTGAGACAGGCTGGAAATTGAAGATAAACTGGCCCTGCTTTGCAACTCGACACGAATTAGCCCAGTCGTGCATTTTCAGACTGTTTGCCAGACAGAAGCTTTGAGTGACTTTGTACATATGAGACATAATGTTTGTAACAACTCTGCGTTATGTAGCTTTCCAACTCTGTTTTTTATTTGACGTTTCTGTGTTTACTTATCAAGACAAAGTTTGATGTTAAACTGCAATTTCCAAGCGCACTTTAAGCTACCTCGGTCCTCATTAGGCCCACCGTGGGATGTGCAGGTCCTACGTGGAAGAGATTTACCAACCACTGCTGTGGTATTTAACGTTCCTGTACTAAGTGCACAAAGTGACCAATTTTCTGCTCCCCCCGACTCCCCCCGCTCACTTAGCACATTCGGTAACATCTTTGATGACCTCCTCTCATGCTGAAGGCCGGAGGATACGTTAGTATTAGCCTTTCAGACATTATTGTGCATACAGTAAATCGTCCAGCGCAATTAAGGAAATGGCCTCTGGAAAGCAAAATTAAGCCTATTTTCTAAAAGTAGGCTTAACAAGGTTTACTCACAGCTTCTGTCAGGGATGTGTGAAGGAGGCAGGACTCAAACGCAGACTTCTCAAAGCAATAGACTTTAATAGGCAAAAGCAAAAGGCCAAGGGGCAAAAATACACAGGAACCAGGGGAAAAACAGCAGGCAGGAAACTACAAACATCCACGACGATAGACAAGGACATGCGTGGCCAAAGACAATGACGCGACAAGTGACAACAGACACACACGGCTTAAATACACTAGGGAGGTGCAGGTGATTGGACACAGGTGGAAACTATTAGACGATCACAGGGGATGACAGGACAAGGCAGGAAGTGAAGTTACCCGGGGACACGAGTGGCAGAAAACTACAAAATATAACAGGAAGTGAACCACACCGTGACAGCTTCTTTCATAACACCAGTGCTGCCTGTGACTGATTTCAAATGTTCTATCCAACCATGTTTTATTGCATTAGTAATCAATAAAAATAATGTGCCTGTTACCTCTTGATATTGAAGTTTACACGTATACCTTTATGCATTTTGACGTAGGCACAGTTTGACATCATTTCCGAGTGTGTCACAGGACCACGGTGGCCTCGTGGGTACATAAAAATGTGAAAGGCCTTCTCTAGAATTTGGTTTGTTCTGCTTCTGTAGAAACATGGCGGTGGACGGTGGTGCACCCCCCCGTGAAGAGGACTCCTGCCTATGTAGACATGAATTGAAGTACAAACACTGAGTGATTCTTATTTGAAGGTTAAACAACAGACACAAAAATATAAATCAAAATGAATCCTACATTAATCCTACATTCTGCTCTTTTATATCAACTTCATGCGGAAACCATTGCTTCGTTAGTGTGTGCGTGTGTGTGTGTGTGTGTGTGTGTGTGTGTGTGGTAAGTCTTCTAAACCATCTCCCCCAGTGCATGTTAGTTAGTGCGGCTGCGCTAGAAAGATAAATCGTAACTATTCCATTAATAATTAATATGACAACTGTCTAATCTTCCTCGATCCGATTCGTAAAAGTAAGAACGTGTGAATGTTGCGTGAGCCTCAGGGTTTCTTCGTCGGAACAATCAAAAAGCAGCACAGGATAAGTGAGGCAGGTTGAACCAGCGCAGTGTGAGTGTGTGTCTGCTGCTGCCGCCATGGCACTGGGCTGGATCGCCCTGCTCCTCGGCCTGGGACTGGTGAGTGTTTGCTGAACCATTGTGAAACATTGACATGTTGTCTCTTCAGTACTAAACCATGACATCGCTCCAATGTTGAGTTGTGGCCCTGGTTGTCAACTTGTTATTTAGTGAATCGTGTCATTCATTTTGTCTATTGATTGATGAGAGTATTTTCTTATGCATTTTATAGGCAGCAGCTAAGTTAACGGGTGATACAGGTGAGTCACATGATAATGTTTACATGTTAATTACGGTGAAGAAGTAGGTTCCTGCGGTTAAGGAAAGACCTGTGATCTTTGGGCAGCTTATGCATGATCTTGATATCAGAATCTGTGCCCCCTTTATACACTGTGCATTCAGCTAACTAGAGCCCTTCTTCTTCCCCCTTTAACGGATTTTACTGTGCCAGCAAAGTGAACATCTGAAATGCATCTGTGATCCTGCCAAATGGGCTGTCAATCAGAGCGACGTCCATTTCAAATCGTAAAATAGTCCGGCGGTAATGGATAAAGAATAAGGGTGATAAAAGAGATGTGACATTTTTTAAGTGAACGCGTTCTCGTGTGTGTGTACGGGGCTCAATGTTAACTGCGTCGTTAGGAAGAGTCGCCCATATTCAAGCTGCATCTTATTGATTCTGCATCTACAGAAACGGACGTTGATGCGGGCCATGACTGGGACATCTTCAACATCAATGAAGGTTCGTGAACACACTAGATTTGTTTGCTTTGTTGTCTCAAGGACTTTCATCAAAAACACACATTTTGCTTTGCAGTGGCTGGGCTGAACCTGCTGGAGGGGGATATCCAACACGAGGAGGTAAGTTATCTACATATACGGGTCTACTTGACCATAACGTTACAGTTTTGTCTCAATGCCGGGCACAGAAAGGGATTGTTCCTTAAATCATACTTCCAATAGAGTGTGTCCTTTCTTCTGTATACATGTATAAATACATGAAGGAAAGCTATAAGAGCCCACGGTTCCGGGTGTATCACTTGATCAAGTATGAGCTCTGTTTCTACATTATCTTTCACCACCTTTTGTTTTCTCCGCTCCCATCAGACGTTCGACAGAAACTCCATCATCGGAGACGAGTACCGCTGGCCGACAACCATTCCCTACTACCTCGAGGACAGTCTGGGTACGAACCATTCACACTCCGCACCACGCTGTCATGGATCTGCACCAAATAACGCTGCCACTTCCCGTCTACGTTGCTCACATCGTGCAACATGCAGATATGAACGCAAAGGGAGTGACCCTAAAGGCGTTTGACCAGTACAGACTGAAGACCTGCATCGACTTCACACCATGGAAAGGAGAGCAGAACTACATCTCCGTGTTCAAAGGGAGCGGGTGAGCGCCGTGTTGTTAACATTGTCCACAAACTACTGCTTTAATAACAAAGGGAACCCCAACAGGGAACATAATAATAGTGTGTAATTAATGTCAATATAATGTGCCATTAGTTATGTATAAATGTCTCTGTTCCTCACCAGAGTAAAAACTGCATTTCACTTTCCCTTCTCCGTAGATGTTCTTCCTTTGTGGGCAACCAGCATGCGGGGAAGCAGCGTCTGTCCATCGGTAACAACTGTGACCGCCTGGGAACCGTTGAGCATGAGTTCCTGCACGCTCTGGGCTTCTGGCACGAGCAGTCCAGGGCCGACCGGGATGATTACGTCAACATCATGTGGGATCGCATCAAACCTGGTGACGAGCCCTTCAAATACAGCTCCACTTCTTTTGAATTCATTCACAAAAGCTATTTTACACTGAGTGTTTCAATAAAAAAAAGGGCCAAACTCTTCCTGATATTCCTTTGGCCTCCTCAGGTAAAGAGCACAACTTCAAAGCGTACGACGACACAGTGTCCAGCGCGCTGGGCGTTCCCTACGACTACGGATCTGTGATGCACTACAGCAAGACGTCCTTCAACATCGGCTCCGAGCCCACCATCGTCACCAAGATCCCCCACTTCACGGATGTGATTGGTCAGAGGATGGGCCTCAGTGCCAGTGACCTCGCCAAGCTCAACAGCCTCTACAAATGCAGTGAGTCCACTCCACCGGCCGTTCTGTCTCCCAAACTATAACATGAGACGTAAAACTGGAACGATTTGAACAATCGATAAATGAAATCACCTCATAAAATAAAATTGTCCTATAATAACCTAGAAGAGTTACAAGAAAAGGTCTGAGTTTAGGTCTGTTATAAAATTATGCTAATTTACATTGATAATCCAAGGCAATAATCTATCACTTATTGTCCTTGGTAATAGAGATCCCAGAAGCGCAAAGTACTCATTATGCAGCCATAGGCTGACCGATGCAGAAACACTGTTCTTTGTTCCTCGACGTAACCATATTTGCGTGGTGGAACCTTTGCTCTGTCTGCAATAATACCCATATATTAAACTGACTGTTGTTCCCTACATAACCTTTTTTCTGGTGGGCAAATAAAAGTTATATCTCCATCCATTCATCCATTTTCCTCTGCTTATCCGGGGTGGGGTCGCGGGGGCCGCAGGCCCAGCAGGTTGACCCATGGTGACCTTGCTGTTTCTTCTTCACAGCCAAGTCTTCTACCTTTGTGGACAGCTGCTCCTTTGAGCTGGAGAACATTTGTGGGATGATTCAGGATCCCGGAAAGACAAAGTGGGAACAACGCAGTTCTACAAGCGGAGGCCCCCAGACCGACTTCTCCAACATGGGGCAATGTGAAGGTGACTGTCAATCAAAAACAAATGCAAAGTAAAACAGCAGAAAATGCAGATAAAGTATGTATGGTATAATAGTTAGTTAGCAGCTGATAAAGCTCAAGTTAGCAGCTGATAAAGCTCAAGAACTGCTGACTGGACAAAAACACAGAGGGGTGTGTGTTTTTGTCCAGTCAGCAGTTCTTGAGCTTCATCAGCTAATCAAGCCTCAAACAAAGCCGGCCGTGGCAATTAGCGTCTGAAGATATTTAAAAAAACAAAAGTGCTTCAAGTGATTTACAACAGCCTGTACAGCCTGGCAGTAAAAACAAACTATTAGTGATTTATTAGAAATAACTTTTGTAAAACGCAGGCTAATAAGAGCGGAGCCCTCATAGTCCAGGCCGTGGTCATGGAGACTTTAAGTCATGAATTGACAAATGGACCAGCCCCTCCCACTGTTGTCTTCACCTGCTCTCAGGAAAAGGCTACTTCATGCACTTCAGCACGGCCTCTGCTGAACCCGCTGGCCGTGCGCTCCTGGAGAGTCGTTGGCTGTACCCCAAACCTGGAGCCCAGTGTCTGCAGTTCTTCCTCCACAACACCGCTGCAGCTGACGACGTCCTCAACATCTGGGTGAGAGAGTACGACGGGGTCAACCCCAGGGGGAAACTGAACCTCTTCAAAAGAATTTCAGGTACACGAAGGAATCTTAACCCAATACTACAGTATATTAATAAACGCGTCATTAATGTGTCGAACGCGTATTCTGACTGCCCTCTTTACAGGAGGGGTCACGGGCTCCTGGGAGCTCCATAACGTCAACCTGCATGTGAGCCGGAAGGCCCGAGTGGTTTTTGAGGGCGTGAGGGGAAGGGGTCCGTCGAAGGGAGGCTTCTCTCTGGATGACATTAACCTTTCTTCCACAAAGTGCCCCCAGCACATCTGGCACATCTGCAACATCACCCGCCTGCTGGCCACCACCCCAACAGGAGAGAAGCTGTACAGCCCTCGCTTTCTTTCCCCAGCGGGCTACTCCTTCCAGGTGAACACTTCTTTAATGTCCCAATCATCCAATCTTAAGGGAAATTCAAAGCCCGACTGAGTTTTGGTTGCCAAGCTACCACTTGACATTTGTTTTAAATTGCCATTGCGTTGGTCGGTGAGGCTTTTAATGCGGCGCTGTGCTACTTTCACACTTAAGATCCTGCAGCCTCTAATCTGCTTCAATTGAACAACGCTGGGAAAATTATCCTTTTTCCTGAATAGGCCCTCGGAGAGGCAGTAACACTTTGAAAACTAGGTCCATCTTGAAACAGGCCACCAGCACTACACCCCATCCCAGAATCACATTCACGCAGCTCCCGACCTCCTCTCTTTATCCACGTTTTACATGTTCTTCAAGACAAAGGAGACAGTAAACCAGTTACAATCCCATCCCATGCACGGTGCTTTGGCGTTACTTCCTGTGACCGTCTTCCATGATCTGTAGGTTGGTGTGTACATCAACGGAAGAAGCGGCCGTCCAGGGTACGTGGCCACCTACTTCCACCTGACCTCTGGCCCCAACGACCACAACCTCAAGTGGCCGTGTCCGTGGCAGCAGGCGACCATGGCCCTGATGGATCAGCAGTCTGACATCAGAGAGCAGATAAACATGCACCGAATGGTCACCACCGAGCCCGACAAGATGTCGTCTGACGGTGAGATGTCTTGACACACTCATTCTCTTGTTTGCACGAGGATTTGCTGCTTTGGTCGTCAAACGGACAACAAGCTATTAACCACGCCCCTCCCCCCCCTCCCACCCAGGCATTGAGTACTACTGGGACAACCCCAGGGAGGTGGGCTCCAAAGTAACCGGGTCTGACGGCAGCTATTTCTACCGGGGCCCAGGCAGCGGGACAAGCACCTTCATCACCCACAGCAGACTGAAGAGCAGAAAGTTCATCAAGGGAGACCAGGCCTTCTTCCTCTTCAGCCTGGAAGGTGTGCAGACGGGACAACTGTGACGTACATCGACGGTCAACCTGTCTCTAAGAGACCACTGCTCTCGTCCTCAGATATATCGGCTCTGCTGGCCTCTCAGCCTCTCGACAGCCCCGCAGTCCAAGCGGACGCCACTCCGGCTGCAGACCAGGCTGCTCCGCAGGGGGCCGCTGCAGTGGTGGTCGAAATTGTGGCGGGATGCGTGGCGGCAGTGATACTCGTGGTTTCCGTGGCGATCTTGGGGAACAGCTGGAGGGGGAGGAGGAGGCGGCAGAAGAGCGGCGAGGCTGAGATCACACAGAACACGCCTGGATTCATGGAAGTCAGTGACAAGCATTAGTGTCACCGCTATAATTCACATGATAGCAATAATTTACCGTGTATCATTAATGCTGATGCAGCCGAAGCAGACGGTCACGTTGTTGGCTTGCGTTTGAGAAATATGTCATTGTATGTTTGTGTTTTATTACAGGAGCAGCCGACAAAGGATTTAACATCCATTCGCACAACTCCATGAGGTTCCAGTAAAAAGGAAGAAATGGGGACCCCCATCTGAATTAATGTTAGAGCATTACGGATGTGATTTTGCCTCCAGGGTCTCTGGTCTCTCTTAGAATTGCTGTTCTTTTTCACATAATACATTCCGACAGAATCAACATTTTTTTTAAATCAAATAAATAGCAAAACTGTTAAAACCTGTTTCCCTTAGTACTAGTATATTATCTATGCTATATATTTTAGTGTAATTCAATTGTTTACCATATGGATATCTCAAATATACGTCTTAAAAGGCTTAAACAAGACTATACCCATTGTTCCCTCAGTCAACACGTCACCGATTCAGCCAAAAACACCAGACAAACATCAGTTCATAAGTTCAATCACCATTTTTATTATTGGATTGCCACGACTCGTTCTGAACTGGACGGCTGTAAAGCACGGACAGACTCGTACGTTCTCACCTTGTGCTTTCTGTAAACGTGATCCTTTGCTTTCCGTCCAGTTTGACCTCTCAAACAAACTGGTACAAATAAAACCAAAAGTCATTAAGATGGTCTTAACTTCTCCCTCCTCATCAAATCATTTTGTAGTTTCCGTACGCTTGAAATAGTACGGCTAGATTTGGGTTTTACCCAACTTTGCATATCTCAGTTCTACAACGCTTTTCAGTCCATCTTATTGAGTTGTTTTGCTTTCTGGCACACAAAAAAGTATAATGCAGCTTTAAATATAACACAATATTAATAAACAATGTTTGTTATTCGTTGTAGTGTGATTGTTGCCCACAGTAGTCGCTGTGACTGACTTCAGGGAAAGGGCTGCGTCACAATGAAGCATTCCATTGATTGCCTTCATGTTGTTTTATTCATGTTCTGTAAAGACTTAAATAATGTGGGCGTTGTTATTAGGAACGGATCATATGGACGCCACAGTGTAAATAGCTGGCTGCCCTTCTGCACGTGCACTTACTCATTCAAACTTGCATCTCCTTGTGAATTAAAAAGAAAAACACAGAAAACCACCAGGCTTTGGAGGGTTGAGAGCGGATCAAGTCACGGACATTAAAAGTGCGGTAGAGTCCAGTGGTTTCAAATCAACATTTTTAGGACAGCGGCGATCTCGAGTGGAAACATTGGAATTCACATTTCAGGCACAAACAAATAAAGGTAGTAGAAAAATATGTTTTTTGAAGTACTGTTTCTAAATGAATTTCTCCCAATATAAATATACTTTCTTAGAGGGGAAGGAACGATGCGTCACCTGCATTTCTGCTGCTCTCTTGCCTCGTGTCTTTATTTCGCTTTACTTGGTCTGTCAAAGCATTTTGTAAACTCACCCTGTCCATGACGTTGCTCCAATCATACAGTTTTTGATGCAGCTCCACTTGTACAACTGAAGCGGTTGCTTTGCTCGTAATGCAAAACCCACCCATTGCAAGCTGTTCAGTGAAGATGGCGCAGTCTGGGAAGTGACTGGCGGCCTAAAGAGGCGACTCTGCCACATGGGGGATTGTCCTCTGAGGCATCTGCGTCCGGGCTGCTGGAGGATCAGACTCAGGCAGGTGGAGCACAAGCTGGCGTTATAGCAGCATTTTGGTTGGTTAGCTAGCTTGAATGCTTGAATGCATAAAGCAAACGTTTCCGTGGGCCCCAGTGGGCTGTATGGGTGACAGATATATACGGTTACCCGAAGGTGGGAAAGGAAAGGAAAACCTTTAACAAAAAGTATTTTACACTAAAAAGATTTTTATTTTTATTTTTTTTAAAGGTACCGTGCAGGCTGACTCTTTGTGGCTTCCGTGCGATATAATCATGCGGTTATATAAAAATGTGCTACTGCCCCCCTGATTTAACACTTTCTCTGTTTAATTTCTTATTTGCCAGAATATTATAACATTTCTTGTAAACTGATAGACGTATTTGCAAAGAGGGCTTGCAGGCTACTCATCGATCCAATAGCTAAAGCACAAACTAAACTTACAACAATAGCCGAAGCAAAATATGTAGTTCCATTGGACACAGACACCGTGTCTAAGTTAGAAATGTCCAACTTGGGTGAAAGCAAATCCAAACTGCACTTCTGTCCACCCGGATTGTCCCCGTTTTATATATCAGAATGACGCTAGAAACATTTAAACACATGGGGGGGCTGAACACTATAATTCAAGAGGCCGTACTTGGCTTTATAAGTTAGAAAACATTATCTAACAATTCTGAAAATTCTGTTTAATCTGGAGGATTCACATTATGCAAACACGTCGGCCCTTTTCCTGAAGCTCAAACTGGCTCAAAGTATTTGAAAACATTGACTTGTTCCTTTCAGTGCTGCAGTCAGAGCAGAGAACTCAACGTACGGCCTCGTAGATCAACGGATGATGAACACAGGCCCTGCGGTTAGTAAAAACGCTACATGGCTACGGGACAGGAAAACAGGGACGCTCGGCTCGGTGTCACCCTGCTACCGGTCCGTAATCACACTCCTGACACCAAGTCCTCTAAAGGTTCTGAAATGGAACGCAGCATTTGATGAAGGCTTTCGCTCCGGCCATCCGGATCGGATTTCCAGATCATCTCCATGAAAGAGACGGACATGAGGCTGGAACAGGAGCCCGCGGTACCCAGACCAGGGGCCTGAGGCACTGTGAAGAGTAGGGCCGACCGCGGGGAGCAGAAACGACAGCAGAGTTCAGTTTACGGTCTGCAAGAACCACCGATTCAAGGTAGAAAACCACATGAACGACATGCTCTGAGCCCCAAAGGGAGGAACTGGACCCCTGGCGAGCTACACCGCGATGTTCTTTCATGCAAGCGAAGCTGACTGTATCGAGCCTTAAGCCTTCACTGCACCGTCTGGTACAAGTAACCTCTTCTGTAGGCGCTGAGAGGGTAGAAGGTGGCCACAACAAACTTCCCGTCGAAGGTGCGTCCCGTCAGCAGCCTCTGAGCCTCTTTGGAGTCACTGGAGTTGGCGTACTCTACAAACACCTGATGGCAACACACAAGTTCATGGATCAGTGCGTGGACGCATCCGACGCGTGCGTAACCCCGGACGTCCACTGGATGCGGCGCTCGGCCCTCTCCGGTGACGCCGGGGCCTTCAGGCACATCAAGGTCCGCCGAAAATGTTTCAGAGGCAAAGGCCTTTTCTGCCATTTTTTTGTGTATTTCACAAATAAACAAATTTTTACTCCCAACTGTGTGTGACCACAAGCTTTTTTTTGGGGAGCGTGGTGCCTTTTCCAAATAGACCTCTGTGCATACAGGAATGATTTGGTTTCCACTTGTTGCATTGGTATAGAATCACAAGGGGATCATCTCAGCAGCAGGAGGGCCGTGCAGCTGCACCCAGTGGACATTGGGGGGAATTGAGCAAAAGAGAAAACCCTTTTTCAGTGTAGCAAGTGTAGTTTCACAGGATACAGCTGACAAAATCATCAGTGTCTTTATATTTCACCTCAATTAAAAACGAATAGAGAATATTCTTTTTTTCTTACTTTATACTCGGGCTGGGCGGTATGGCAAACAATTAATATCCTGGTATTTTGTAAGATTCTGGCGGTATATCACGGTATTTTTTGAGTAAAAACATTTCATTACGTGCAGCCGATTAAGCCACAGTGAGCGGATCACACTAAGTCAAGCTGCGCCTTTTCACTTATCCTGGATTTCTTCATTCTACTTTTGTGCAATAGCCCCCAGGACTCAATCTCAATACACGTAGGACAAGCAGCTCCGGCCGCTGCGCTCTCGCCGATGAACAATATATTTCGCCGCCTGCTGAAGGACGGCAACAGTTGTTATGCCCGTTCAGCGGTACGACGATGGGGAAACGTGAGAGCATTACCGCCCAGTCCCACTTTATAGTACAAAAATGTGCAACAGCCTTCGTGATGTTTGTTTTGCTACCACCTGTTACTATAATGCAGCTGCTTACATGCTCAGTTTAATTGGAAACCTTGTGAAGATGCTGTTTTATTGAACAACGGTCTGACCTGTCCCTTCCCGGGGTTCTCCTTGGGGATGAGCAGAGAAACCACGGAGCCGTACTTCTGGCACTCCTCCTTCATGTCCTCCAGGATGTCTGGGAGACACAATGACACCCATTTTGACTTTTACCTCTATACATTCACACAGCGTTTTATAATTTAAAGACAAAGTGTTGCACCTTCATACTCTTCCTCATTGTGCAGATGGCTGTCATCAATCAGGTTGAGCAGGCGCAGGACAGGAGTCGGGAGCAGAACCAGGTCTTCGATGTGAGGAGCTGAAAACATTCAAGTAAATATCTTTGTTGGTAATAATGATGGAGATCGTGTCAGCTCCCCAAAAGGGAAGTTAATACATCTCCGCGTTGTAGCTGGCAGTCAAGTCATAAACCCGCCCCTTCTGTGTCAGCTGATGGGACGGGACAAACCAAATCAAAATGTCCCTTCTTATTCTTAGAAGAACAGGCAGTTCTTATAACGCTGTTGTAGGGTCAATTGTTCATTCTGATGATACGGTAGGGTCCAATTACTTGTTTGATGCTAGAAAGAATGTCGGACAGCCTCTCTGAGTGAAGTAGCAGCTGTTGCACATTCTGAGGCTCAGGAAATGAACGAAAAGCAGTGGAGACGAGGTCAAAAGCACAAATCCCCAGTCTGTGTAGTAGAACATGCTCAAGATGATCACAAATATATTTACAGAGATTGATTGTTTTTCTTTTTCTCACGTGGGTAAAACTCTTACCGCTCCATCACTACTGCACAGACTGTGTCTCTGTTCACTTAAGACCTCACAGTGTCCGCTCCCGTGTCCAGAACATTCCTACGGTGAATGTCGTACACGCTCAGATTTAATAATCTTGAAGGACGTCCAAATATCGACCCATACCAAAGGGAATACTGAAGAAGGGGCTCAGCAGGGCCGTCTCAGTGGTGCATCGTTGCTTTGGCTCGCTGAGAAGCATGCTGCAGACACAAAGTACCAACGTAACTAGAGGCAGTATCCCTGTGTAAACACACAGTAGAGTGGGTCTGAACTCACTTACTTACCTTTTGATGAGGTCTCTGAGGTGATAGACAGGGATGGCAGGGCGTGCAGCGCTGTTGGTGGCAAAAAGCTGGTCTACAATGGCGGCACTGTTATCCTGGAGAAGACATTTTTTTGGTTTCGCAAGAAATGGTTCTGCTTTATTCAGCTGGTCGTTGCTAAACAGAACATTGCAAACTTCTACAGACTACCTTCATTTGTTTACAGATTTATTTATTCCATTAAAATCGATATCATTAGTCCACCAAAGAGCAGAGCTTTGTCGTACCTTCCACTTCTGCGAGCGGACGGTGTCTTTGAGTTTGATTCCCGAGAACATCTCCAGCAGGACGATGCCCAGGCTCCACATGTCCACGGCGGCAGTGCAGCCCGAGTCCCCGTCCAGCTCCACCCCGGCCTGAGCGAGGCCGTTTTGCAGCTCAGCTTCTGGAGCGCGATACCCGTCCGTCTGGATGTACTTGACGTCCTGGACGAGTTGAGCCAAGCGAGAGAGTTAGAGATGCAATGCTAGATTCTGCTTTTGCCGACATTCAGACCCCCCCAGGCGAGCCCACCTGGTTTCCCTCTTTGAAACTGAGGCCGAAGTCGACGAGCTTGAAGCACTCGTCGTCGGCGCTCCAGAGAATGTTGCGCGGCTTGAGGTCGGCGTGCACGTAGCCCTCCCTGTGCAGGAAGGTGAGCGCCTCCAGCACGTCTCGGGCACAGTGCTGGACGAGCCACAAGGAGTGTCCCCGCTGGGGTCTGCCAACAGACGCCACGGCGATCAACAGAGATCCAGTCTCACCAGTGAAGACTCGCCATCGCTCGCTGTAGTGAACCTACCCGGTACCACCGGTGCTCCTCACCAACAGATCCGACACGCTGACGTCCAGGAGCTCCAGCAGCAGACAGCGGGTGGCGGCACCCACGCGGCTGTGGTTGGTGAACACGCCGTACAGAGTCACTGATGGGAGGGAAGACTCATTACAAACCGCCCGGCCGGTTCTCACGATGATGAAAGCACGAGCCTCCAGAGAGGCACTGAGGTACGTTTGCTGCGGGACGATGCCGGTGGACGGTTTAGGCGTTTATCGTTACAGAGCAGGTCAGCCGTCATCAGAACACCGCGATACGTACCGATGTTTTTATGCCCCTGGATGTCCTCCAGCACGGAGCGCTCCTTGCGATACCCGTAGTCTACTCCCTGCGGGTCGGCCCGGAACTCCTTGACGGCGGCGGCGGTGGCGGCGGCCCTGCCCGAGCTGACCCGGTACACCGAGGCCGAGACGCCCTGGCCGAGCCGCGACCGGACGGCCCAAATCTCACCGAAGATCTCGAACAGCACCGGCGCCGCGCTGTGGCGCTCGGCGGCCCCCGGGGGCCCGCGGTGCGCCATGGGGCGGCCCGGCCGGCAGAGAGCAGGCGGCGGCTGTTACATGGCCCGCGGCGGGGCGACGGGACGACGGGACGACGGGACGCTAGCCCCAAATAAAGTATCTGCTCCAAGGGGCCAAACTAGCCGCCCAGCTTCAGCACGACGTCAAACCACTTCCACGGCAAGCAGGGAGACGCCTGCCTCATTGTACGGTATCTTCCAGAATATAACGACAACACAATGTTTTAGCTGCAGTGAAGTTTGGCCCAAGTTGGAACTCGGGTGGTTGTTATGGGTCTCGCGTCCTCTTCCTCGGTGGAGGTTTCTGCTGCGTCGGTCCGCGCAGTCCGCCGCCTGCCGGCCGGAGGGCCGCGGCACTTATTGTTCCCATCAACTCGTTCACGTTGCTGTTTTGTTTGTGTACCTTTTTTCCCTTCATAATTCCACGTATGACTTTGTCTTCATTCAAATCCCCCAGAGTTCTCAGTGGCAAGTTTTCTTTGGTTTGATTAAATGGTTTTCTATCCGTTAAGTATTAGCATGTGCGTTACATTTATGTGGTCATTAAAGTGTCATTTTTTGGAAAAGAGAGAAAGCCCCTCCGTGTTACTGTGTCATTATTACCTTTATCATGGGCCGGACAGCGAAGTATCACGTGGTTCAATAAAACCGCCTCCGCTGTCCGGCATCTGCTCGTGAGGTCTGCGAACCGGAAACGGGAAAACGGACGAGTCAGCAGCCCGGAAGAGGGAAATGTCAACAAAACGAGGTGGTGTTTTTGAACATTTGGTAGAAAACGACGGTCCTGCACAGCTGTCCTCGCTCGGAGGACAACCACAAGAGGTCCTTGCTTGAAGCCGCACGTTTTAAAATCTCCAAAAACAGTAAGTTGCAGACTCGAGCTGGAGGCGAGCTCGGCTCCTGCTGTGTCATTTCTCATGCAGTCATTCACATGTGGAGTCCTAAAGCAGATGTTTGGGTCGCTTGTGTTTAGACACACGCGTCAGCACGCGGGTGAGTGAGTCGATGGCATCGCAGAAAAGGTCTGACCTTGAACGCCGAATGAGAAAGCGGCGAGTAATGAAAGGTTTCCATTAGACGAAGCTAACGCCAGCTAGCCGTCATTTGCTGACGCGCGTGCTTCACATGACCAGTGACAGTCTGTCTGGTCACATGATCTCACATTAGTTCTGTCATGTCTACACACTGCCTGCTAAACCGCGCTAACAGTTACCGCGTTCATGTTCCTGAGCAGATGTTTAGAGGCATCCCAGCTGACACACATCTGGATATTCAGAAATATCAGAAAAATGTCTATCCGTCCGTCGTAGAGAATCCAGTGGTGCCGCACATCACTTCCGGTTAAATCCACATCTTTTTGGTTCATGTTTATGTCCAAATGTTGGCCCTTCTTAATTCCTATATGCATCCTGTTTTGCAGAGTAGATATTCCACATCAGCCAACAGTTGCCTACAATGTGGAATCGCTGCAAAGAAATACACTAAAACAATTGAATCTTTTATGGATGAATACAGTAAGCCAACAATAGCGTAATACAGTGTTTGCATGCATTTACAGTGCAGCAATAAGTTGACCCAAATGTCATGAAGTGCAGAGTCATGAATCAAATGAAATATGTACATTTTTTGGACAGTTTTCCTTTTAAGTTTTGCCTTCAGAGGAAAGTGAGTATGCACGTAATGCATATCTTTTAAAATTTACTGTATAACATAACAAAGTAGCATTGGACAATAGGTATCGCCGACCTCACAGTCATAAAAAGCTTCATGAGACGGATGACAGACGGGTATTTTTCATACAAAACTCTTGTAGCTGCAGCTATGAACATGTTAGGCAGCCCGCCGCTCTCTGACTGAATCCTGCTCTCCTCGTCCTTTCAAGGTGCTTCTGAGAGGCATGAATGACTTTGCAGTTCTCAACACGGGGCGGAAGATGCCCCTCCTTGGACTGGGGACGTGGAAGAGTGAACCCGGAAAGGTAGATGCTGCACGTGTATCCTCTTTTCAAAAAAAGAGTGTGTTGTGTTTAAAAAATAGGATTCTTAATACAATTTTAGTCAAAAAGATGAACGTAAAAGCAAAGCTGCTCTGTCTCTGCACATTGAGTTCTACTTGTGTATAGCTGCACTATAAAAGAATGTGACTTGTTGCTCACATTGCTGAATCCAGGGGGAATTATCCCATTTCCTGTCAGCTCTACACAGCAGTTAAGCCTTTTTTTAAGAAGTCACTCTTTTAGGTCGGTGCTCTTACTGATCTCTGTTCTGGCAGGTAAGTATTTTTTTTCGTGGAAAACAAACCTTTTGATAAAACAACTGCCTGCTCTGCACCAAACAGCAGACAGACCAAGTTAGCAACTAGCACGTGAACATAGCTGCTATGGAACCATATATTTTCCTCGGGAGCTGGTGGAGACCAAGCAGAGCTACAAGGATAGCAAATATTAGACTTATTTGTTTTCAAATGGTTGGACACGTTACTCTAAATAAATGCTGATTTGCTCCGTAACGGCTGGATGTTTACATAGACGGCTTTATAGTATGATCAATGATGCCCATTTTGTTCCCCCCATTTATCCACTATTTAATTTAATGCAGCTGTAGATCCTTAGGTTTGACGAAGACCTGTGCATCTATGTAGCACTTTTTGCCAAACAACAGTTGTGTCACTCCCACAGGTGAAACAAGCCGTTATTTGGGCATTGGATGCTGGGTATCGCCACATCGACTGCGCAGCAATCTATGGCAATGAGGGCGAGATTGGCGAAGCCCTGCAGGAGACCCTCGGCCCCGGCAAGGTAGAACAGCTTCACAAAAGTTGCATTAGAAGCTCAAAGTATGAGTCAGACTTCTCTTGACGTGTTGTCCGCCAACCAGGCCCTGCGGAGAGAGGACGTGTTCATCACATCCAAGCTGTGGAACAACCGGCATCACCCGGAGGACGTGGAGCCGGCCCTCCTCAAGACCCTGAAGGACCTGAAGCTGGAGTATCTGGACCTCTACCTCATCCACTGGCCCTACGCCTTTCAGTGAGCTCCACCTCTTTTATCCCAGGAGGATGTGGAAATATTCTCTAACAATGAATGCAAAGCAAAACTCCAGTATTCACGAGTATGCAATGTGCTTCTCACTTCTGTGTCTGCCAGACAAGGAGATGCTCCCTTCCCCAAAAAAGAGGACGGCACCCTGCTGTACGACGACATAGACTACAAGCTGACCTGGGCTTCCATGGAGAAGCTGGTGGAGAAGGGCCTCGTCCGATCTATCGGCCTGTCCAACTTCAACAGTCGGCAGATAGACGACGTCCTGTCGGTCGCCAGCATCAAACCCACTGTCCTGCAGGTACAGGCGGTTTGTGACCACAGTTCCCATTGCGTGTAGCCCGTGTTGGCTCTCTAAAAGCACCGGACGACACTGGGGTCTCTGTGTTTTGGTTGGGCAGGTAGAGAGCCACCCGTACTTGGCCCAGGCAGAGCTGCTGGCGCACTGTCGGGACCGGGGCCTGGTGATGACGGCCTACAGCCCTCTGGGCTCTTCTGACCGCGCCTGGAAGCATCCGGATGAACCCGTCCTGCTTCAGGAGCTTGTGATGTCCACCCTGGGGGAGAAGTATAGAAAGTCCCCTGCTCAGATTATCTTGAGGTGATTTTACGCGTCACGAAGCGGATTGGATTGTACCCCGAGTGTTTGATTATCTACTTTTTGAAAGGAAGCAACACGCAGAGAACATTTTCAAATGTCTAAACTTAAAACAAGTAATAAAAATAAATTAAAAAAACTTGAATCAGGTTGTTAAAGGCTTTCACTTGTTGGCAATCACTGCTTTACCAAACCGCACTTTAATGTACAGGCATTTTCACATCAGCCTGTATTTAGCTTCCTTAAAATCATTCCATGTAGCATTTAAGTTCTGGGGTGTTATTGAAGGAAACTACAGAAAACAGAAAGTCTCAAGTATCTGTGCTTTGATGGTTTAATATATAAAATTATTTCTTCTACCAAAAGCAATGAGCCGTTTAAACGCATCTATCAAATTGGTGTTGTGGTTCAGAAATACAATTAATCTTGACGTAACAATCTTTTGGCCCCTTTGGGCTCATGTACAGCTTACAGTGACTCACGCTGATGTCGGCATGCAGCGTCCAGCTGATGGGGGTTAGCGTGTCTTTGCATGTTGTAGCCTAACTGCCGTAAATCGTGTGCGCTTTACCACATGAAGTGCATGTTTGTTGTTTGCAGGTGGCAGACACAACGAGGAGTGGTGACAATCCCCAAGAGTGTGACAGAGTCCCGTATCAAAGAGAACATTCAGGTGGATTAAAATCTCAGTCAGTCATTAATCATCTGAAAAAACTATTCTTTTTATTCTTTAGAAAGACAGGCTTCTTAAAGGGATTTTATGAATGATAGAATATCTCATTAAGGTTCCTTTTTTGCCGGCAAGTACTTGAAAGTAAAATATGCTGGATGTGATGTGTTGACGTTGTTGTGTTTGTCATCAAGGTGTTTGACTTCACCCTTGACGCAGAGGAAATGAAGAGTATTGAAGCCCTGAACAGGGGCTGGCGCTACATCGTACCAATGATCCAAGTAAGTGGGCTTTATGAACCCTTTAATGGTTGCTATTGATATTATTATATTTAGTTAAAATATCCATGTGAGCCCAGAAAGCGTCCTGCAGCAATCTGGTGCAAAGCAGAAGCTGTGATTGTCTTAAGAAGAAAAGAACCAGACTGGTTTTGATAACGCAGCACGGTTCAACAGGGGAACACAAAGACATTGTGGTTTGTTTTGGATTTTGCAGGTGGAAGGAGAACGAGTCCCACGGGATGCAGGACATCCTCACTACCCTTTCATCGACCCCTACTGACGACGCACTGACACCTACACTTGTGCCTTCAACACTTCCTGTAACGCTAATAAGTGTTCCTAGTTTCTTTAGATAAGGTTAAACTCTGCACTTATCATTAGAATTTCAAGTTATTGTTGGTGATAAACACCGGAAATCCTGGTGTGACTGTATACATATTACATACAGTACATTTTTTTTAAATAAACATTTTGGTACTTCACTTGCTGTCTCTTTTTTTGAGTAAACTCGCATGGTTTCCTATGGTGAAGACCCATAAACCTTGAGTTAAATACAGTAATGTAGTAATAGTTTTTTTCGATTGCTAAACGACAGTGGGCACAACTGGAGTCACATGTGCAAAACTAACTACAGTCTGCACAGCAGCAGTTCATGTGGACCAAACTAGTTCTGACTAAGTATCTTTTTCTTTAAACCAAGCTAGTCTGCTAAATTTGTTGTTGATTCTAGCGTCTTAAGTTAATTTGATTTTCTTTAGTTCTTGCCGTTTTACTGCCAGTTCTCTGTTATCTTGGTTGCTAGTTTGCTTAAGCTCTTTCAGTTTTTTAGTGCCAGTTGCTGTTCTAGACTCTTAAGTTAACTGCCAGTGTGCCCTCCTAACTCTGCTAGGTTTGACCTGATCTAAGTCTGTTTTGCCTTCTCTTCTGAAGCAAAAAAGACTTGACTCCTTAAACTCTGTTTGTCAAAACACCACATGGTGATTGTTCACTGATTAGGGTGTCAAGCAATTGGTGTTTCGCATTTTGAGGAGTTTGTTGAGGCCAATCGACCTTTTGTCTCCTAAACGACGGGGAGCGGTCAGCGCTGCCGCAGCCAACTTCCACTAACGAGGGAGTACATAGACCCCGTGCAGACGGACTCTCAGTTTGTCTGAACCCGGTGAACCCCGTCTCCGGATAGCCCTATCGTGCAGACGAACGCACTGTATCCGCACTCCCTCGAATCGGGGGTCCAAAGTGAGTAAACTCGAAATCCGATTGCTGTTTGTGTTCGTCTGCACGCTATCCGCATACCTAATCGGATTGCATTACGTGATTGCATGCAATCCAACCCAGTCGTCGTCTTCTTCTTCTGTGGAGTTTTCGTTTGTATACGGCGCGCATGTCTTATACGCATGCTCCTGTCTTCTTCAGTTGTCTGTAGCACCTTAAAGCGCCTCCAACAGGCGTGGGAGATGTACTACAGCGGAGTCAATCGGATTCACTGGGTTCATGTGCACGCGATTTAAAAAGTGTGTAGGTGTGAAAAATGAACCCAGGTTCAGGCAAACTAGAGTCCGTCTGCATGGGGTCTTAACTACAGGTCGAGTGAAGCGTTAGCTTCAGCGTTTGCTTATCCTCGCAGCACGAAGACAAGCAGGACAAAGACCAGGGAGTCAAGACGAGCAGGACAAAGACCAGGGAGTCAAGACGAGCAGGACAAAGACCAGGGAGTCTTTTGTGGAGTCAAGACGAGCAGGCTTCGCTATCCAGCAGTCGCTTGACTTCCTCGCTTTCACCGAGACCTGGATCACACCTGAGAACACATCTACCCCAGCAGATCTCTCCTCAGCCTTCCCCTTCAGCCACACACCCAGGCCCACTGGTAGGGGTGGTGGCACAGGTCTACTCATTTCACCCAAATGGAGCTTTTCTCTCTACCCTCTTCCACCATCCACCCCATTGTCCTTCGAATTCCATGCTGTAACAGACAGTTACCCGGTACAATTAACCATTGTTGTCCTTTACCACCCGCCAGGCTCCTTGGGTCATTTCTTGGAAGAACTGGACATTCTCCTGTCCAACTACCCTGAAAATGGCCCTCCACTCATCCTCCTGGGTGACTTCAACATCCAGACAGAGAAGTCATCTGACCACTTACACCTACTTTCTTCTTTCGCTCTGTCACTCAGTCCCTCTCCTCCTACTCACAAAGCCGGCAATCACCTTGACTACATCTTCACTAGAAACTGCTCTACCACTAACCTTTTCGTTGCAATATTCGCTCCCCCTCTCCCTCCTCCCTGGCATCCTCTGTTCTATCAGCTCTCCCTTCAACTGATTCCTTCTCACTCTCGCATCCAAACGCTGCTGCAGAGACTCTCCTCTCAACTCTTTCCTCCTCTCTAGACTCTCTGCCCTTTTACAACCCGACGGACTGGCAAATATCCTCCGGCTCCGTGGCTGTCTCAACCGGTGCGTGCCATGAGAGCCACCATGCGAGCATCGGAAAGGAGATGGCGTAAATAGCAACCTGATGACCTGCTTGAATTTCAATCTCTTCTCTCCTCTTTTTCTGCTTCTATCTCTGCTGCCAAAAGCGCTTTATACCAATCCAGAATCGAATCTTCATTTTCTAACCCCAAAAAACTCTGGGTAACTTTGTCAACTACTTTACAAAGAAAATAGCTGACATACACTCCTCTTTCTCAAACCCACCTCCTACTTCTTGCGTCCCACTGACTTCACCTCTATCACCCTCACTTTCCTCTTCAGGAATCAGGAAACATTTATTGCCAAAATATGTCAAACATACAAGGAATTTGTCTTGGCGGTTGGTGCCTGACAGTAGACAGTGTAACAATAGACAACAAGACAGCAGTGCACAAGTAATAAAATAAAGTTAGAGTTAAACATTTTAAATATTAAAAAATATTAAGCATAAAGTGCACTAGCGAACAAGTATCAAGTGACGAGTGACGAGAGACGACAAAGTGAAAAATTACAGTTAAAGTGACATGTGCGGCATGAAGCAGAGTGACCGGTGGAGTGTTATAGTCAGTCAGTGGGGGACCGGCTCTGTTGATGAGCCCGACTGCCGACGGGAAGAAACTGTTTGTGTGGCCGGAGGTCTTATTCCTGATGGACCTCAGCCTCCTGCCAGATGGAAGGGGCACAAACAGGTTTTGTCCGGGGTGAGAGGGGTCGGCTACAATCTTTTTAGCTCGCTTCAGGGTCCTAGAAGCGAACAAGTCCTGCAGGGACGCCAGATTGCAGCCGATCACCCTCTCTGCAGAGCGGATGACACGCTGCAGCCTGCCCTTGTCCTTGGCTGTGGCTGCAGCGTACCAGACGGTGATGGAGGAGCAGAGGATGGACTCCATGATGGCCGTGTAGAAGTGGACCATCATCGTCTTTGGCAGGTTGAATTTCTTCAGCTGCCTCAGGAAGAACAACCTCTGCTGAGCCTTCTTGGTGATGGAGCTGATGTTCAGCTCCCACTTGAGGTCCTGGAAACATAAGTGACGGGGGGAGTCACACAGGGTGATGGGGGAGGGTGGGGGTCTGTTCCGTCGGAAATCCACAACCATCTCCACTGTCTTTAGAGCGTTGAGCTCCAGGTTGTTCTGGCTGCACCACGACACCAGATGGTCAGACTCCCACCTGTAGGCGGACTCATCCCCACCAGAGATCAGTCCAATGAGGGTGGTGTCATCCGCAAACTTCAGGAGCTTGACGGACTGGTGACTGGAGGTGCAGCTGTTGGTGTACAGGGAGAGCAGAGGGGAAAGAACGCAGCCTTGGGGGGAACCGGTGCTGATGGTCCAAGATGCTGAGACATGTTTCCCCAGCTTCACGTGCTGTTTCCTTTTGGACAGGAAGTCTGTGATCCACTTGCAGGTGGAGTCGGGCACGTGCAGCTGGGAGAGTTTGTCCTGCAGCAGAGACGGGATGATGGTGTTTAAGGCAGAGCTGAAGTCCACAAACAGGATCCTGGCGTAGGTTCCTAGGGAGTCCAGATGCTGGAGGATGTAGTGGAGGGCCATGTTGACAGCATTGTCCACAGACCTGTTGGCTCTGTAGGCGAACTGCAGGGGGTCGGTGAGGGACTTCAGGTGGGACAGGACTAGCCGTTCAAAAGACTTCATGACTACAGAGGTCAGGGCGACAGGCCTGTAGTCATTGAGTCCTGTGATCCTGGGCTTCTTGGGAACAGGGATGATGGTGGAGGCCTTGAAGCAGGCTGGTACATGGCATGTCTCTAGGGAGGTGTTGAAGATGTCAGTGAACACCGGAGACAGCTGGTCATGCTTCAGGGTGTGAGGGGAGACGGAGTCCGGACCGGCTGCCTTACGGGGATTTAGTCTTCTAAAGAGCCGGTTAACGTCTCTCTCCAGAATAGAGAGGGTCGTTGCTGGTGGGGGAGGGGAAGGTGATATAGTTGAAGAGGCGTGAGCACCTGATGGGCTGGGGGAGGGAGGGCAGGGGGACTGCAGCAGGTTGGTGGAGCTGTGGGGGATGGGATCAGGACAATGTCTTTCAAATCAGCGGTAGACCTCATTCAGCTCGTCTGCCAGGCGGAGGTCATTCATTACATTACAGGTCATTTAGCAGACGCTTTTATCCAAAGCGACTTACATTACATTTTAAACCCATGGCTTTTTTCACATTTGCCCGGGGAGCAATTAGGGGTTAGGTGTCTTGCTCAGGGACACTTCGACATGGAACATGGGGAAGCCTGGACTCGAACCAACCACCTTGTGCTTCCCAGCACACCTTCTCTAACCCCTGCGCCACGACGACCCCATTCTCGCCAGGTGTCCCTCTCCACCACATCGGAAACACCTCCCGTATTCCGATGTGGCGAACATCACATAATCAAACCCCTCGATCCTCACTTTAATCACCAGGCTGAGAGCCTGGGCTTTGGTGAGGACCATGTGAGGACCATGTGGGTCTGTCTCCTGTGAGAGACCACATGTCACCCTGAGGACATCTTCCTTAACGGGGACACCACCTTCCCGTCTTTCGCCAGATCCTCTACCAGCGCTTCGTCCGGGACGAACGGCGGAACGTTCGCTACCGGCACGGCGAGCGGAAAAACGGGCACGTGCGCCCCGCGGACCACCACGCCGCTCGCCACCACCTCGCGCGCCTTCTCCACGCTGTCCACAAAAATGACCACCGCGCGGTTCATCCACGCCGCGGACTTCACGCTACCATGACCCACCAACCCCCCCACGGCCAGACCGCAGTCCTCCATGGAGCACGCGAAGCCCGGCGCAAGCTTCATGCCGTGCTTCCGCGTCAGCCCCGTGAGGTCCGACATGCCGACCGGCTACAAACACGCACAAACTAACACAGAAAGAGACAAAAGACACACATACACACCAACACGCATTCACCCCACAACGCACACCAGAAAAACACCGAAAATAGACGAAATAACAGATAGAAAACACAATCCAAACAATTCACCTCACGCTCCGCACACTCAGCACTC